TTAGCGGTCGATCGGGTTTTTAGATTTATCCCTCAAATTCAAAAGAAATTGAGGAACTTTGCCTCTAATTTTAGGTTTATAACTTAGAAAAATACATATTGTTAGATCTTCGTTGTGTGGAATATCATGATATGGAAAATATCCATTAAAAACTTCTGGCATAATTATTCCTAAAGTATAGTTTCCGTTTATATACAATACTTCCAGTGCAATGAAGGGAATCACCCCGAAAAGTGCTTTAGAACTTGAATCTTGTGACACTGGCTTACATAAGCCCTTAATCTGTAATGTAAGGATTAAACGTGTATATTTCTGGAATGAAACTCTTTATGTATTAACTTGGCTTCGTGAATTATCTGAGGTCCATTAATTTGCCCATCATTGTAGTTACTATCTTTTGGTTTCTTGGTTATTCCATAAATCTTAATTGCCGATTTGTCTCCATATTTATGTTGATTTTCACCTTCTTCTAAAAATTATTGATTTATATCTTTAGAATTATCAAGACCCTTTAAACAAACATCTATTTGCGCATTTATTCTCCATGCATTCTTTTGATAATCAAGCTCTATAATTTATCCGGCAATCCATACTGCCTTAAAACAGTATTAAAGCCTCCTCTATTAAGACAATTATATATTCAATAATGTCCTTAAACTTGACTGCCTTCGGTTGGGTTTGTTGAATAATTTGATTAATGTCGTGATTGTCACTTGTTCATTTATGAAATTCCGCTTTAAACTTAGAGAAACAAATTACAAAGACAACAAGGGTAATCGAAGGAGATCGTGAGTCCGTTTTATCGTATTATTAATTTTTCCTCAATATTGTATTATCTCGAATTGCCATTTATATGATATGAAAAAAAAATTCAAAATGCTTTCTTCTATTACTCCGAATATGGTGAGTATTAGACTTCCGTAACAGGCGAATTTTCCGACTTGTCAATATCGTCAGGTGACGTATGAACTAAAGTTGAGAAGTTCATATCTCACAGTCACCACCAAATGTTACGAGGTGAATCGTACGTTTAATAATCTATACTATAAAATATAGACTTTTATGACATAAGGCAACTCGCCAGAGGCGTGACGTTGGTGATTTGGTTAATTATAATATAAGGAATTATTATCGGGTTAGTGATATTATGTGCCCCTTCCTCGCACATAAGAGTCGTAACCAACCTTAACTAAGTTACGTCCTTTTTATAACTTAAAGGACTAATGAGGCTTAAACAGATCTCACCTTATTATATAGTGGCTTAATTTCAATCGGCCGAGATCTATTGCATATTGTCTAAGCCTTTGGCTCTAAATTATCAACTTGATTGACTATGATGTCAATCTAGCCCGTGACACTACTCCCATAGTGTAAATTGAAATAAACTGATCCGAGTGAAAATAAATAAATCGAATAAAAAAACTAATCATTTTGCCTAATATTCTTCTTTTTCAAATTTTTACCAAAAGATCTTATTAACGTTCTTAACCAACCTCTAAAAGTGTAAATACTATAGTTTTCTATTAATAATGTTTATTAATAACGATATTTTTATAGGTTTTTTTTTTACTATTTGAGTACAAACTTACTATTATTATGATTGTAGCATTGTTGACAATTGTCTTAAAAAGTAAAACAAACCAACAAACCAACAAACCAATAGATAAGCTGCAATTCTACAATTGAGTTAGCACTACTCACAAACTTAAATCTTCTTTTAAGGTTTTCTCTCTCTAGCATCCATGTATATATAAATGGTTGTTTTCTAGTACGTAAAAAAGAGTTATTCATAACTTTTTTTCAAGTAGTATTTATCAAGAATTTACATTTTACTTATTGCTTGAATGTTAACAACAATACTTGTACCTAAGTTATTGGCATAATATTATTTAATGTGAATTTTATGACACAGTATAATGATTTAAGTTCTACCACAAAATCCCGAAAGCTATTTTCCCGAATGGACATAATACCGACTACATTGGCCAGCATTATAACTGATGCCGGCCAACTTTGTCGGTTTGGAAATCTGCCATATGGGCTTTGTGGTAAAACCAATGATTTAATAATTTTGTTTTTTACTAATTAATTAAATTAATATCACTTAATAAAATGTAGTACATTGGACTACCCACCTTATCGGACAAATTTGTAAAATCGGAAAATTAGAAAATATGAAACCAGGGACAGTAATACATTAGAAAATGATATCCGGATAAAGATAGCTGTCGTATAGCATGTAAAGAGTATTAATGAATTATAGGTTTATTTAGTAACATGCAATACTTGAAAGCACGTTATTTAAGGATGTTGATAAACTGAATCTCATCTTTACGACTTGTTGAAGAATGATGCATAAGTAAAATTAACTCATACCACTCATACCATCCATAGTTATGACTGAATGCTATATCTTTCGCAGCAAGATTTGCCCAATAAGGTAAGGTTCAGTAGACGACAATTGGAGATTAACAAAGGGAGATCATTGTGTTATTGTGCAAATTCCTTTTTCTTTGTTACAGTGTAATTATACCCTTTCTGGAATTTTTTTTTGGAATTTGTGGAAATTTCAATGTTTTGTTGAAATGTGATTGTCAAAATTATAAAGAAAAATTTTGATGTTTTTGATTTACGAATAGAAATGACATTACACATTAGACACTACAATAAATAATAATATCCAATAAATGAAAACTAGAAACCCATATCCACTGGTTGGTTTTTTATGGTAAACTGTTACACGAACTTTTACTGTTAAGTGACGTGAAGAATAACAAACGAAACATTTAATAAAAGCTTCTTTTTTTTTTTTTGTCTAAACGTCTATATGAGATAAAGGAAAAAAAAAAACAGCTGGCTAAGACGTAAAAGAAAGCACTATCTTATTTGTTGAAAATGCGCAGGTATTTTCAGGTAGTGAAGGATCGGTTTGTCATTGAACGATCAGTTGAATAATGGATAAGGTGAATTCAGATGCGATTTTCAGGACGACGGCTCTTTTCACTTCAACAATAACTAAAAGTGTAGATATTACAAAAATTCTTTACAGTTAATTATGGTTTTAAAAGACCTTTTTGTAAACTCACTTTGTAATAAATTAACAACAAATAATTAATTCTTAATCATGATTGCCAAATTTTAGGGTCAACTCAAATCGGTCGCTATGTTCATTATATGGGCTGAGAAAAGGGATGAAATTGACAAAAAAAAACGGTCTTAGGAAAATCAATTTTTATATTGTAAATCTTATAATAAATCATAATAAAATACAAACTTTAAAAAGCTATATAACAAAATTTTATTAACACAACTACTTTTGTGTCTTAAGTAAAAAATGATCCTAATATTATTATAAATTGATTTATGTAAAAAAAAAAGATCTTTTGAAAAATTTGTCAATTTCGTCCTTTTTCTCAGCACCTAACCCCATGTGTAATTTAGAATATCACTATGAAAATAAAAATGAAAACGAAAGGATTAGTAACATCTAGGAGCTGGTATATGACCATGAAAAGCTCATAAAGCTGCTTATATGATTTTTTATGCATACTGCACAGCCCGCGCAGGAATATGAAAAATCATGTGTACATATAGTACATATTGATACAGAACCAGATCGGAGAATTTGCGGAATTGACCTAAACTAAAGTCCATATATTTTAACAATGCGATTGCAATGCCAATCTCAAAATTTCAGCTATTATGCATTCTACAATTGTTAAATCCAGGGAACCTAAGTTAGATCCACACTGCAAATCTGCCAATATGCATTATTATCATACATAAATATATACATAGTAAGAATAATTCTTCGACTACGTTTAAAAAAAAGTAAATATGTTAAGATCTCTTGCAGTGTAGATTATTAGTCAATTAATTATAGAATAGGGTCACTTATCACAAAAGATCCAAAATTAGACAAAAAGAATGAGTGCGCCAGGGCGACCACCAAAAGTCCGATCAGGTGATAAGACGCCACAGCCATATATATCTTAATAACCAGTATACGTATTGTTTTGTGACATAAGAAATTTTCACAACAATAAAGTTGTATCGGTATCGGTATGTAGATTCAACAATTTTCGAAGAAATTATGATGTGGCTGTGGCGCCTTATCATCTGATCGAACTTTTGGTGGTCGCCCTGGCGCACTCGCCAAATTCATAAGCTATATATCTAAATAAAATATAATAAAAATTATTAAAATACGATCAGAATGCAGTTCAGAATTATAGTTCAAAAAAAAAAGCATTTTACTTGTATAAAAAAAAACAAATAAGGTTATTTGAACAGAATCATTGTACAGAATTATTGTATTTCATTTACCAATTGTTTAGACTGCTGAACCACCTTCCGACCTTTCAAATTATTCACCTCTCATCTAGTTTTTAGAACTACTGCATCTTATTGCATTTCAGGTTGAAAACCGATAAATTTAAAGATAAACTACCAGCAACTCGAGTTGTTACGTTCTGTATTACAAAAAAAAATAAAAAAAGTTTCATATGACACGATGATTTTTACTATAAAATTACTTTAAAAATTACAATCGACTATCCTGCTATATAAAAAAAGATCCTCGTCAATCATATTTATCCTAATAATATCAGCCAATAATGACAACTTCCGCTATGTTTTTCAGACGTGCTTTAGGTTTACTAAGGTACACATCTTTTTTTCAAATTTGTGCTTATTCATTCTAATGTAAATTACTATATTTTACATGCCGTACAAGTATGTACGTATGTACTTAGGAAATCGACCACTATATATAGAATAAAAAAAACAACCAGCCGTATGCGCACTATTTATACGTATGCCCATCAATCTATTGAAATTAATACATAATTTGCATTATCTTAACATGGAGATTGATGTGTGCATACAGTATACGTATAAAATCCAAAATTTGTATATTGGTGTTAAATATATATAGTATGATATATTTACGTAAAATATTTCATTAAACGTTAGAATCACTTTTCAAAAGATTTTGTATAATGGCTGATAATGAAATACGTAGGTATTCTTATAGTTCACTTTTGTAATTCATAAATATTAATCATTCAAAATGTTATGCAAACTTAGGATTGCTAGAGCACATAGAATTTCAATTTGTCATGCTAAAAGTGATGCCCAATTTGAGGAAAAATTAAATGATTTTTTAAGCCTTATCCTGGTAACGCTTGCAAGTTCTCACGAAATTGTGCGAAAAAAGGTAAAAAAAAAAAAAAAAAAAAAAAAAAAAAAGTTGATAGATATGGCATTCCGATTTATTTAATAATTATTTTTTTTAATAAAAAATGAAACTAGGCCATAGAAATATCTAATCACATTAATAAAAGAATTACGAAAACTGTCAAATTTCCATAAGGTTCGCTTACTAAAATTGTTTGTTCGGAATATTTTATGGATTCAGCTTTAGTTAAGAACTTTACTATTATGTATCTTAAATAGGCTTATGATCATCTAAATGAAAAGATATATCATGATCTTGATCTATTTCAAGCCTTAAAATTCAGCATTATGAAGTTTTTACAAGGAATAAGAACAACGTTAATAAAATCAACGTTAGGATTTTCTTAGGACTGAATTTAATAAGGTTTCGAATGATCCAAAATTAACTATTTGTTAGAAAAACTTACCTTTGAAATTATTCTTTAAATCTGTAGGGTAAAATTACGCACCTACTGCCAGTTATTAAAAATATTACAATGAAACCATGTAATCGGAAAACACTTTTATTCCAAAAAATTTTCGAGGTAAATTTATATACTTATTATATAATTTTATACATTTGATTCATATTATACATTTGTGTGTATTTTTTCATTTCAGCTCTTTCAAAACTCAAGAGCCGAACTTGCAGATTTGGAAACAAAAGAGGTTTATTGCATATTTAAATTTTTTTATCGTTTGTTTATTATTTGCAAAAAGAAATGAAAATTACAAATAACGCTTTTATAGGTGATGGATAGTTTATATTCGCTATATGAATGCTGTAGATTGCTATCACGTAAGTAATAATAATGCAATATTGCAATAACTTTATGTAAATATATATTAAATAATTTATTTATAAATTAAAATAGGTCAAAAAGAGTTATTATGTCAATCACAATCACTTAAATCCAAAACCATGAGTTATCTATGCAAGTCCAAACTAGCTGCAAATATCTTTCCAGCAATGTTACATGTTTCACTCGATTGTTTATATAGTAAGCTATGATTAATTCATAAGCACTAGAATTATTTATTAAGATGCTACAACTTTTTTTTTTATTCATATTTGTATTTCATTCGTTAAGGTTCTACAACTAATGTTGCCTGCTGCAAAGTCGCAACTTAATATTTACAGCTTATTTGTGTTGTAATTATTACAAAATAAGTCATAAATATTATATTACTGATGTCACATTCTATTGCGACGAGAAGTTGCAACCCTAGTGGCGCAATAAAAAAGTCGCACTTCATATTTGCAGCAAGCAATATTATCTACAACTGATGCAAATCTGCAGAAAAAAGGAGCGGAATTTTTTCAATGGATTATCAGGATGGTTAGTCAGTCAATCTATCAATCATTTATAATATATAATAATAAATTCTTTAAACGAATAAATTCCGAATACCTTTATATTTAGGCCAATACTTCAATATTAGAATTAATTGGGAAAGTACTTTTATTTGGCATACTGAAAAGCATTAATCAAATTCGAATTGAGAATTTCGATAATTTAATGAAAGGGTAAGAAAAAAATCAAACACACCTGTTCAAGCCTTTTTTTGGTCCGTTAGACCTGTATATTCACAGTTCTGAGAAAGGTATGCATATAGGCTAACTGATTAATCTGTCGGTATACATTTATGCTACATTTATTAATAGAAAAATTTTTAATCAATAAATAATGAAAAAATTGTAATTATATTTGAAGAGCTTGATCAATGGATAAATGAGCAAAAACATACAGGAAATAATAAATTTTTTAGAAGAAAACTCTGATAAGGTTAGAATGCCTTTTGAAAACTTTTTAATCATTTTGTTTTGCATTAATACATGCTTTGCTAAATCTAATTTATTTTATTTTTTTTTTACCAGTCATCCCATGTGATCCATTGCTGCATGTTACAATATGCTTTCGACATTTTTCCACTTGCACCTATCGTAAAAAAGATTAAATTCTCTCATTTTTCTAAAATTGTAAACCTGATTCATGAAAAGTCTACTAAATGTATTCATGTGTTTGTCGATACCCAGCAAATAAGCTAATCAATATCAAAGGATAAAAATGATCGAAAAAAGAAGGAGGAACATAAGGCATTCATTCATTATCAAAAATCTGCAGAGATGGGCATACAGATAGAATGTGTGAAGTCGGAAATTGCTATAGAGAAGGGATTGGAGTTGAAAGAATGAATATAAGGCATTCATTTATTATCAAAAAGCTGCTGATATGGGTGATGCTCTTGGAATGAATAATGCTGGAGTTTGTTATTATGGAAGAGGAGTTGAAAAGGATGAACATAAGGCATTTATTTATTATCAAAAAACTGCAGAGATGGGATACGCAACAGGAATCTATAATTCTGGAGATTGCTACACGGAAGAAAATGGAGTTGAAAAAAGATGAATGTAAGGCATTCATTTATTTTCAAAGATCTGCAGAGATGGGTGAGGCTAATGGAACATTTCTAGTAGGATATTGTTATGAAAATGGAATTGGAGTTGAAAAGGATAAACGTAAGGCATTTATTTATTATCAAAAATCTGCAGAGATGGGTCATGCTCGCGGAGCATTCGAAGTTGGGCATTACTACGTTTGTGAAAAGCATGAGCATAAGGCATTTATTTATTATCAAAAATCTTCCGAACTGGGGGATATTGATGGGACATATAATGTTGGAAAATATTATTTTAGTGGGACTGGGGTTGAAAAGAATGTGCGTAAGTCATTGATTTATCTTCAAAAAGCTGCAGAGATGGGGAAAGTTGAAGGAATAATTGATGTTGGATTGTACTATCTATTTGGGCTTGGAGATGAAAAAGATGAAAATAAAGCTTTCATTTGTTTTCAAAAAGCCGCAGAGATGAGGGACGTTCGTAAAATGTCAAAGGTAGCAACATGTTATCGAAATGGAATTGGGGTAACAAGAGATTTTCAGAAAGCCAAATACTGGTATCAATTTAAATTTGTGTTAGTGCATTGTGACGTACCACAATCAAATAATATGATATGATCAGGTATAATTGATATTTAAGAAAGATAAGAGTTAGAATAAGGTTAGGGTTGTGCGAAGTTTTTAAAGTTTCACAATAAGTTTTTTTTTAATGCGCAAAATGTGGATTCACAAGTAAAATGTTATATACGATAAGAAAACAAATCATTTTACCTGATCTTGTAATGTTGAGGTGCTACGTCGTAGGGCACTAAATTACAAATTTCAATATATATTGAAATACGTTATTTAACAAATTCATATACTATATTTAAATCACCGATTAGGGAAAAGGATTTAACAGCAGGTATGATTATAAATTATAAACTATTATTATGATTCGTCGTTGAATGACGGGTTAAATGATAAAGGAACACTGTAAATATATCAAAATATACGAGGGTCGTCAAATCATATATGAGAGCAATCAAGAAAAGATATTTAAGTACAAGTTTAAATTTTAGTGTAAGGGCTTCTGAAAATAATGATTTAAGTAACTTAATCACCGTTCTTGTCGTTTTGATAATACAAATACTATGAAAGTAGGTTCAAAAAGATTAAAATATTGATATAATCAATTTCAGAGTTTACAAGTTTTCTCTTGGCAGCACTCATATAGAGACTCATCATTGAACGACGGACTATGGATTCGCTATCGAATCCATGGTAAATGTCAACGTGCATAACTCCAGAAATTTGAATATATAGACACATTGATAATTATTTTAAAATTAACTAATGGAAGCCTGTCAACGAAGTGGCAGGGCGTACATTATTGCGAGATCAGATGACTTTATTTGGTCACATGTTTTTAATTTGTTTTATCCTTTTATGGCATTTGATTGTTTGTTACGTATATCTGGTTAAATGCGGGTTTTTCAGCGATTGTAAGATTGAGTATTGTAGATAGAGGTGGCTCAGATGTAAATCAATGGGCTGAGAATAATAGAGGGCTGATTTTCACATGTTAAGATTGTTCGTGAAATCTGTTGTTGATAATGAAGAGTATTTAAGCTGTACTATATGTAGGCTCCGAGGCTGCAGTAGTGCTGGGACTAGTTATCTTCTTTATTAGGTTCGTATTCTTTGAAGAGGTAGGTACTATTATCCTCATGTAGTTGATTAGCTATACTACAAGGGCAGTTGTAGAACAACTTTCTTTGTTATTGCTTGGTGTGGTTGTAAGCTTGTATATGTATAGATATAACTTTATTATAAGATAGTATATTGTGTAATTTTTTCTATTTTGTAAATCTGCTACAATATAGTTACAGATTTGTTTATAAATCTTTGCTGATATAAGAAGTAGTATTTGTATAACAATATCAGCCACTTCTTTATAGTATAGATCAAAGGATTGAAGTGATTGTAGTAGTTGGGCTAAAATAAGACTTTTTGAGGTGATGAGTAGCTAGTAAGTATGTGAGAAAGAGGTAGATAAGTACTTGAATTAGAAGTGGGACTTAATCAGATTCATTATAGCTCTATGTTGGGCCAAGATTAAGCTACTAAAATAGTTGTTAACTGTTTTGAGAGTGGAGAATTAAATAATTATTTCGGAGTTATAAAGCTATGACAACTAATCTAATAATCTGGTAAATCTAAAGTGCTACAGAAGAAGCAAGTGATAGCCTTATAGGTTTTGGATATAATGTGATAAAAGTGAGAATATGTTGAAAGGTTATTAAGCAGGTATTTAATTTTAAATACTTTTATCTGGTTTAGTTTGGGTGATATAATACGTATTAGATAAGATTTTCTGGTTATTGTTGAGATAAAGCCAAGTAGAGTTTCAATTAGTTGTCTGAATTGTGTTTTCCTATTTTGTGTTTTGCTTTTGTAATAACTATAGTTCTGTTGTGTATACTCTGCAAATACTTTTGAAAATAGTCTTGTTAGTTTTTTTATATTGCATTCCTTTTACTTGATGGTGAAGTATGGGTTGTATATATCTGTATAGTTGAACAAGAGAGTAAGTATGGATAAGTGTTGATGCTGTTTGGCCAAAGTGTTAGCTATGTTGTTAAATCAGTTATTAGAGTGTGTCTAAGCTTTGTATAATATAAACTAAATATTAAAGACCTAAATAGTATTTAGAAGTATATGCTAATAGGCTAGTAGTTAAATTTGAAAAGCTTGGAAGATTTGAAAGAAGTGTGTAGGAGTTTGTAATACTTGGATATAATAAATTAGAAGTTTATAAATATGTCAACTTTAGTATATTAAGATAGTGTAGCAATAGCAGCTAAATTGCTATTAGCTTTGCTTTGTATAATAAAGGCCAATTAGAGATTTTGGCAAAGAAGCTATTAGTGATTTGGTTATTATTTGTCTAAATCCAGCCTACTCATATAGAGCAGTTACAAGTTCCTATATTTGTTACTGAGCCATCTGTATAAAATGTAAATCACTGTGTATTGGTACTGTAAAAAGTATACTGTGTTAGAATCTGATATGTATTATTGTTGTAGAAGAGAGTTGGGCTAGGAAGTCTACAATGTTTATGTTGAGTAGATGTGGTGAGATAATAGTGTTTGAGTGCTGTAGAGTAAAAAATAATTATGTAATTGGCATTGAGCTTGAGTTCTTTGTTGCTTGTCTTTCTATCCAAAAATTGTGTAGATAATATAATAAAAACTTCTAGCATACAGTAGCCCATAAGCCAGTTGGAATTAAGCTTGCAGTCTGAGTATAGGTTGCATATTACTGGGAGTAAAAGGTATAGAAGTAGTGCTTTGTATCTATATTGTGCTGCTAGTGTATTATAAAAACTGTATTAGTTTATTTGAAGTTTTTTCTTATATAATCAATAATGATTTTCTCTTGTTGCTAAATAAGTATCTATAGTTTGAGTCTTTTTGAAATAGTGTTAAATTGGTAAGCAAATGGGTTAGTGTCTAATAGTTGGTATTATAGCTGTATAGTTTGGTACACAGACTATTTAGTATAGTATTTTCTAGAAAAGAGAACTAGCCTAATTTTTTTCCTTTAAGAAGATGTAGCATTATGGTAGAAATGTGTTGCTATTCAAGCAAGTGTTCATTGTTTGCAAAACTCAGTTGTTCTAAATTTGTTTCAGAGCTATTGTTTAAATATATTGTACTTGGGATTCTTTGTGAGTATAATTTCAAAAAGTGTATTACTATCTTGAATTAGTTATAGCTATGCTCTATTTGAGTTAATAGTTAGTCTAATGTCTACTTTCTGTAGTATTTAGATTATTTTAAAAATAGTAGTGTATCTGTTGAGTTCAGTAGTTACTAAAGTTTAATATGAGTAGTAGTACCAAGTGTAAAGTTGTTGTTGATTCTGAGAAATAAATTGTTGATGTGGTGCTGGAGTATATATCCTAGATATTATAAATATTATAAATCTCATAGCAAAGTGTTGTACTATTGAAGATAGACTAGTGTCGCAGGGCTACGCGGTACCCATGTGATTAGTGATCGGGTACGCGTTGATCGGTGATTTAATTAATGCATAATATATTGGGTGATCACGATGTAATTAAAAAGTCTAAATTAGTGATTGCATGAACAATGTAGTAATCATTAGCGATTAGTAATAAATATAAGGCATCGATCCAAATGGGGGGAAATGCCTAACTTTGATTCTAGCGATCTCCTTGAATTATTCTTAGTGAATAAACTGTTATCTGTGTGAATACATTACTGGTGGTAGTATCTGGTACGATACTCCAGTCATCGTATAAATTAGCCAAGCGAGTAAAGACCGTTAGTAAAGTCAAACAAGTACACGGTAGTTTGAGTAACTTCGTGACACAAGGACCTGGGTAAGAAGCAATACCCTCGTTAAACTGCGTAATTTGATTATTGAACATCAAAGTGAAGTTCTTTGTGGAACACGGTATTAAAAGAGTGAATACTGTGAGTTAACATATTATTGAGGACAAAGTAAACGAACGTTGAGTTTCAAGTGCATAGTCGAAAAGTGAACATTGCATAAGGTGAAAACGATTACAAGAAAGTCAAGAAAATGAAAAACGGAAATCGTTTGGTGCCCTTAATCAAGGAGATAATTGAGTTAGTAACGAATGAAGTTGTGAATAACCTAAAGACAGTACAAGTAAAATATCGGAGACCTCGGTTGTGTTATAATTGTCGAAAACCAGGTCATCTTGCCAAGTCTTGTACGAAAGAATGTCGAATTGGTAATGGTTGCGCTGATGTGAGGTGGATGGATGCTGAAATTAATGGAGAAAGAATTGAACATGTGAAGGAGAAAGGTAAAATCGGTGATAGCATAAGAGGAACATTTGTGAAAATAAATGAAAAAGCAGCGAAAGCATCGATTAGATTTAGCTCGAGCGTGAATAAAATGAGCATGAAGTATGCAAAGGGGAAAGGTCTTACTTGGAAATGGTTAGATAAGAAAAGAATTCCTAGTAATAATACAAACAATGAGTTTGTTGGATACATCCCTGATGTTAAAGTAGATGTATGTGATGTTAGTATATATCAAACATTTTATGTTGTACGTACTTTGACCCCTAATATAGTCCTTGGAATGCCGTGGATCGCGAAATCTAGCTGCAATATTCAATGGAAAAATGGACAGTGCCATTATGCGATCGAATCAGGCCTTAAAAAAGCAACATTCATAATGAACGATCAACTTGCAAAAGGTGAGAAGGTAGATAATGAAAATAACGATGGAATGGAAAACGATTTAGTAGATGTTAGGTGTGTTCAAAGTGAATTGATGAAAAATGATGATGGTAAAAAGAAGAAGAGGATCGTTAGTGTGATGAATAAAAGGGTGACAAATCAAACGAAAGGTTTGAATTTCAAGAATATACCTATAGACGAATCCTGTGATGAAGAATCTTGCCGTGATAAACATCATGTATATGATTGTGAATCGATGATGGAGACCGAAAAGGGTGAAAAAGACATTACAGACATGAGGAGTACGGTGAATGAATTGGAGAAGAACGGAACAAAGGGTGAAGAGACAGGAGTGAAAAATGATGAAGTAACGATGTGTGGAATAGATGTTCATATGAATAATGAAAAAGAAGAGGACATTATTAAGATATTTGGGGACAAAGCGACACAAGAAAACGAAATTTTACCTGTGAAGTCCAATGATAACAAGGATGAATCGAATGAATCGAAAACTGTTGAAGCTGATGTTGAAAAGAATGAACGTAAAGGCCTCATGAATTATCAAAAATCTGAGGATACAGGTGATGTGAAAGAAACGTTTAGTGTTGAACCACAATACCAAAACAATGAAGCAGTGGTATTGATGGAAGCACCACTGAAGGTGGTTACGGAAATGGACATGAGGATAAGAGGTTTGCTGAAAACGTTGAGGGAGTGGGGAGAATTAGATGATGCTGATGAAGCATCCAGTGTTGGATATTGTTTTGAAAAGGACGTTGAATCCAGAGGATCTAGCTCAGATGGTAGAGCTAAAACCGATAATAGAGTTGTGAATGGTGAAGGCAAAACTCTGAATAACGACTGCCGTAATTCACTTATGGAGCAATGGGTGAAAAAGCGTATGATGTTTATGAATAATCGGATCAGGGATCCTGCGTGGCTACGAAATTCTGAACATCGATTGATCAAGATGTATGGTATTACAACAGTCATGAATCGAAAAGTAGATTGGAATCATGCTGTGTCGTGTGATGGTGAAAAGGTCGAATTTCTCAAACGATTGTATTTGGACCATATAATAGGGAATGATGGATTGGTAAGTGCAGTATTTGGTAATCGTTTTGAATTGAGAAAACTTGGAAGAATGGATGTGAGTTGTTGTAACTTCGGGGACGAAGTTACTGGGGTTCTAGCTTGTGTCGCAGGGCTACGCGGTACCCATGTGATTAGTGATCGGGTACGCGTTGATCGGTGATTTAATTAATGCATAATATATTGGGTGATCACGATGTAATTAAAAAGTCTAAATTAGTGATTGCATGAACAATGTAGTAATCATTAGCGATTAGTAATAAATATAAGGCATCGATCCAAATGGGGGGAAATGCCTAACTTTGATTCTAGCGATCTCCTTGAATTATTCTTAGTGAATAAACTGTTATCTGTGTGAATACATTACTGGTGGTAGTATCTGGTACGATACTCCAGTCATCGTATAAATTAGCCAAGCGAGTAAAGACCGTTAGTAAAGTCAAACAAGTACACGGTAGTTTGAGTAACTTCGTGACACTAGGACAGATAAGATTTATGCTTGGTAATTGTAAAATATTTGCCAAGAATTAGAGTATATGTTGTTTGGAAAATAACTATATTATGAAATCTATATTTTATTGTAGGAATAATAACTGTGTTGATAATATAAGCTATATGTTTGTCAGTTATCATTTTGAAGTTAGCAGTATATACTAAATTGAGGGCTTCTTCTTAAATAAGCTTAATTTGTTTAGAGTGCTTATTGTTAAACATAAACCAGTATTCTAGAAACTTGAATAGCTAACTAGCAGGAATTGTAGTTAGGATTGTTTGTAAAAAAGAAATATTAGTATTAGCTTAATTGGATATAAAAACTAATTTAGATATATTAATCTAAATGTTTGCTATATTATAGAAAAATAAAGCTATTTTTATAATTTTTTTTAAGTTTTCTTTAGTCTGGATAATCTAAACAGTATTATCTATATAGACAAGAACAGATATAGAACACTATTACTAATAATTAAATAACTTATTATTAGTACTATTATTATTCTCACTACTAAATACTATATTTAGAATCTTGTTATTATTCTTTTTATTTATAGCCTAATTCTTAAAAATATTAAATACAAAATTTATTTCTCTTAATTGATAATCTGTCAGTCAACAGAAGAATAAACATAGCATAACGTGATGCAAATTACTATGTAAATCCAATATAGTGTGAATCTGAAAAATTTCTACTGTTCGTCTAAAGAAAACATTTTTTCGTACTAAGT